AGCAAAAGGGAGACCCTGTGGAATTTACTGAGTTCTGCGTGTTCTGCCGAAGTAAACACTTGTTAAAGTGACCAACTGTATGTTCAACACTTGTGGCCTCTTTCCTTCCACTTTTGAATATCTATACCTCTTTATATCTTTGTTCCAGTCTGTCACTTCAATTAAATTTAATGAAGTGCAATCACCCTTACCTTTGGTTTCAGATTTATTCTGAAGGATTCCTATAACCGATATAACATTTCCACTTAAAAATCAATTTAACATGCCAGCTGTTCTTTGCTGTACTTAAAACTCTGTTCTTTTTTAACTCCCTGCCTATAACCCTTCGATTTCGACCAACGTTTTTCGTCATTGCTGAGGATTTTTCACGATAGCCAAAGCGAGAACTGCTCTCAGCATAATACTTCTCATATCTCTAGCTCTTCTCAAGCCTCCTTATTCTCAAAAACTCTTCCCGATCTTAATTCTATTCTCTCATTGTCTAGGAACCCTTGTCTGGCTTTATTAGGAACTGCTATTGTTGACGTATACTACTCCAAATGTTTACTTCTGAATTAGATAAAATACACTTCTCTTGCTACCTCTATTACGTTATAAGGTACACCTAATTATGAGGCTCTGATTACTTCAGCATATGTATATTTTCAGGTATGTGGTGGGCCTTCTCCAACCACGCACATGCACTTAACTAATGTACTTGTGGCCAACTCACATTATACTCCCAACCTCCACTGTAACTTTGAAACGGATTTGAAATAGATCTAGATTCTGAACTTAGCATCCTTAGTAGTTGTATGACCTTGTTTTCGCAACTCGGTCATATTGGGAGGAGACCCTGAGGAACTCACCTTTCCGGAGTCTATAACATGCGTGATAATTTCCATAGTTGGATCGTGGACTTTATACATTCCAAGACGTTTCATCGGCATCGTCAGTGAGTCTTGCCATTCTTAGACAAGTCGATCCTTTGACCAATTGTCTGCTAAGGATAGGCTTGTATCTTTGACGAGTTGTAGTGTGGTGCTAAGAATGGCAAAGCTCATTGACGCTGCAGGCAAAACGTTTGGGAATGTATAAAGTCCACGGTCTGAATCAGGAAATTATCATGCATACTATTAACTCCGGACAGGATGCGTTCCTCTAGGTCTTCCTGCCAATATGGCCAAGTTGCGAAAACACTGTCAAACAACTACTATACAACTAAAAAAGACCGCGAACATTAAAAAGTCACACAATCTTGGTCTTCATACCTTCGGTTAGCATCCTTAATTGGGCACTATTCAAATACTTATGAACATTAATTTCTCTATTCATTGGATGAGCCACCCCGGCAAACTTTTGAAGCTAATCTTAACTTTGACTTATACCGAAGCCATCGCCTCTTGGCCTCCATTTCTCAATACCCTCTATTTTGTGATCTCTCTTTCTGTTGTTTGATAGATGTCTCACATCCAAGCGTCTCCTTTTAGCTCTCTATGCTGAATCCCGAGTTTATCCAAATCTGCCAAAACAGTAAGCGAAGTTCCAGCTGACTCTTTCTTTCTGCAATTTCCTTTTCATTAGTTTCTTTGAAAAAAGATGTCACTGGCTTTCCCAATTCTCCACCTTTTTAAATTGTCCCCATATGCAGCCAACCGTTCTTTTGCATTCCAGTCAATGGTGTGGCAAGTCAGCTATTCAGAAGCCGTATGTCTCGTTGTTTTATTTTCTTTAGCTTTCTTTTTCTAGGAAATATCTGAGTTGGTTTGCCTAGTTCATCTCTCAGAAATTAATACTAGTTAAAAGTATGCTTCTTAGGATTGTAAAATTGAGTATTATGATAAGATTGGAAATTTAAGATTGCTCTTGTATGGGATTTCTTTCTAAACAACACTTACTTTAGGGTAGCCTAGCAGCGAATAACCTTCACATCCAAGTAAGGTAACCTTTCCCATCTACCACAACTTTACACTTGACTTTATCGCCAAACCTAAGGCCACACCTTCTTAATCTTCATATATACTATTTATTACATGTATGTGATTACATTAGTTTAAATCTCGCAGGATATACATTCATGCTAAAAGATAACAGCAAGGCATTACTTATTTTAGATGAGACCAAAAAAAAACTTTCACCCATGAAGGATGCCGCCTTCCAGAAAAGGGAGGAAGCTGTGCAAGCAAGACTAAACCCACAAAGCGGTGAGGATCCTTTCAATGCCGTTAACAATATGTCTACGCGAGGTCTCACCCAATTACCCTTGCCTGATCCACGTGATGAGTTGAGGTAACAGGTGCTTTTATTGCTAGACATAGCAACACTATAAAACTACTTAATAGCATTGATTAATTTCGAATAGCTAAGTAAGCGTTATTCTAACAGACGAGTGCTTTCGTATCTTATTTACTGTCGATGCATCTAATCTTTTTCGAAAGATAGGAGAATCGTCGAAAGCAAAGTTAGCTTTATCTGGGATATCTAGTGAAATCATTCCTTGTTTAAATTTTGAATGTAAATTAGAACACTAACATGAGTTTAAATCTCGAATTTCAGTATTGAAACCTATTGGAATAATATTTATCTATCAGATACCCTAAAACTCACCAAACGAGTGCTTTTATGTGTTAGCCCATTGCTTTTAGACCGTATTTCTTTGGTCGTGAGATCTTTCGACATGGTTAGAATCCGCAAAGAATGATATATACATATTTACTCGTTTTGATATACAGTATAATTAATAATCGTTTGCGGATTTGATGAGATTAAGAGGAAAGTAAGAGGTAATAAATTATTTTGTTGTATTATGTCCTAACTTCTTGTTAGACTAAGACCACATTGAGTTTCCTTGTCCTTGTAAGTACGGTCAATAAATGCAAAGCAATATCACTGTTTTTGATTATGTTTAGCAAATTTATGAATAGGGGGGGTGAACTAAGTTATTTTGACTCAGTCGAAACATTTGCTCACCAGATCTGATTAGCCCAGCTAATCGACACTGGACCCATTTCAATGTCTGTCCTCCGTCTTTACTTGTCATTTGATCTATTAATTCGAACTGAACAGTGTTGATAGTTCGCTCTTGGTTCCAACGTCTAACTGTGTTTAAAACAATATTTTTAAAGCCTCAGTCCGGCAGCTTTTCTTGCTTTGTTTTAAGGTATTGACTTTTTCCAAAACAGAGGTTTAAGTTTAATCTAATTTTTCTCAATTCATAGAACAAGCTCGGAGTATTATATGGTTCTTAACATAAAAAAGAGAACCACGAAATTGGGAAGTCTTTTTGCACACCACCTCTTCACAAAACTTTCTCTTTATTCCTCCAATTATTCTAGTTAGGCCAATATCTATGTTTGATATACAAATGAATAACTTTACTTCTAAGAAAGCAACAAGCTCCAGCCAAAACTAAATACTTTTTGCTGTTATTCTACTTGAACATCCTTTTGTCGTTTTACATGTCTCCTTTGTCTCAATATATTTAGCTGGCAGGATCGGGTACCTGAACATTACGGTGTGTAGAGAAATTTTAGGGGGTTAGATACCTTTAAAAAGTTCACAAATTTGGGTTGTTCTTATTACATTTTTGTCCGTTCTGACTTGGCATATGAGTAAGAACTCATTTATTATTCAGCATATTGTTGAAATTAATTTATATGAAATCTTTTACATATTAAATATTAAAATAGCGCTTATTTAAATTTCTCTTTGAAAGATTTAGATTTCTACAAGTATATGTAATTTGTTAATTAAGATGAGCATACTTACAGTGAACAGAAGATTTAGTAATAAGAATATAAACAAAGTTATGAACATAAGTATCTTAATAGCTCTGTCGCTTTCTTAGAGTTTGTCTATAAGGGTTCAATAACTTAAGAACTATACTTTTACTCTGTTTCAGATACTGGGAGATAGTTAACAAGGGCTTTCCTTCTGAACTCAATGTCATGCCAATACTTTCGGAGAGATATATTATCAAGATTTTAGCACGAGAACTACGAGGCCTGAGAGTAAACTGGAAAACTTGCTTTCAGATGGAGCGGAAAGTTCCGATACTTGAGAATACACTTTGCATTCCTCATTTGACTGGAGAATTTCTTCATTATTTTTATTCCAAACCTCTAGTCAATCTTATCCGACGCTTAATTGAGGTAATTGAATTATTTGCCTGAGGCTTCAACCAATATATTTTAAGATATTTTTCGAATTACGTATTGTTTTCGTGACTACCAGTAAATCAGTCATATGAGATGTATTCACCCTATTTCGTTTAAGGTTATGAAGGACTGGTAGTAGAAGAATTTTCCCACAATGATATGAATTGAGCTGACGTTTCCAGTGTAGTCGACTGGTTAGCGTGTCAAGCTCCCATCATGCGCTGTTCCGGTTCGACTCCCGCTGAGGGTGTTGATAAGACCAATTCGACGTCGAAACTGCAGTTCACTTCTGTCTGAATGAGAACAACTTTTGGGAAAGCAAGGCTATGTGAAATTCAATGGAAAACGTCAGCTCAACTCATATCATTGAAAATTCTTCTTCTACCAGTCCTTCATCACCTTAAACAAAATTGGGTGAATAAATCTCATATTATTTTAAGATAGCCTGATGAATCATGCATAAACCTATGAACTGCTTTTAAATGACTCAACATACAATTCATGCTGATTAAATTTGTCTAGTCATGTTAAACAACGTCGGATGTTATTCCCTCTTGTTCCGCCTACCTTGTGAATTCTAAACACAATCAATTAATTCTGAATAGTGTTGGCATATCTAGTGCTATCTCTAAGTTCAGCTGTGTTAATTACACTTATTTCAAAGTCTTTATCTAGTCGTTTTTCCCTTTGTTTAGAAGTTTGAACAAAAGAGAATAGCTCACTTGTTCCAGAAAACCAAACCTCCAAATTGAATGAAATATGGCCAGACAGAGACTTGGGAATAATTGTAATAAACAACTCTGAATATGAGGATACCAATCGAAATGAAAAAACTACTCTCGATTAGTTAATTGTTATATGACTCCATAAGGTAAGGGAGGCAAAAGACACTAAACCAATCTTATGAAGAAGGACTTTAGGCCAAGTCACTTCATTACTCCTCATTCGATGTGAGTTTACCAAGATGGTAACCTAAGAACAGGAAAAATACAACTCGATTCAGGTGCCAGAAGCAAAGCGAACTCTTCCTCTCATTTCCATATGATGCGTGGATTCCTTTGCCTCTGGCTTCAGCAAAGGTCCAGGCGATTACCTATCTCTAAGCCTAATGGCCTATTAGCCATAAGCAGTAGCAGGCTTGAGTCAGTCTGAACCCATTGACTCCTGATTTGCCTTTATTTCCAACATGAATTGTTTATCACATTTAAAGATGACGCGAAAGAGCCCATTGTAGGCCGGCGAAAGAGGCGTTACTATCCGGTCGTCTCAGACATAGACGTATTCACATGCTTTAAGACAGTGGTTCCCAAACTTTTCCTAGTCGCGGCGCCCTTTTTCAATTAAAATTTTTCCATAGCGCCCTAGCCTAAGTATGCTTATTCGTAAGTAAGAGATAAAAATAAATAAAAATCGTGTATCTTCATTATTTTTTTTAGCTTTATTAACATTAAATCAATATTTAATAATTAATGTGATGGATGAGCCTGCAAATCACTGCACATTTTCGCAAATTGAAGCTTTTACAGTATTTTGCGGCGCACAGTTTGTGAATCACTGCTTTAAGGTATTTCGTCACTGCTGACTTAATTAACAGGACACTGATTATTTTGTCCACCGTCTTTGCTAGATTCATCTGTTAATCTATCGATAGGAGCTGACTTTGTCAGGCGAGAAGAATTTACTGGATAGGAGCACTTACTATCAGTAGACCTTTCTGCTGGACCGTATTTGGTGTTAACCTTAATAGCATTTAGCAGACCCAACAGCACAAGAAGGAGATTGTCCTCGCAGGCGTCAGGATTCTTCTGGCAACTTAAACAGAAAGTTAGCTGAGGGTCATGTTAGGCTTGAGAATGATAAATCTAAATTTGCTTCATCTTTTTGCCCAGCAGTGTAAATAGCTTGGTAAGTCGGATTATAGCTGTCTGTATCCACCAGCTGTCATGGTTATCGGCTTGCC